CCCTGTAATGGAAGCTGAAGAAATCATACTCTGGGGAATGACACATGGTCTGAAAATGAAAAATATTATTGAAGGCCAGTTCTGTATTGTTTATCCATTTCTCGATTTAAACTTGTCCAAGATAAAGATATTTCATTATTTTCAAAGTTGCCCTTATTATAAAAGAAATATCTTGAGAGTTTTGGAACCTAATAAAGTTATCGTATTTGTTTTGTTCCAATGATTAATATAAATAGTGGTGAGAAGAGATAACTAGCTCAAAACTAGTGTGAGCTGCGTCGGTGTTTCTAATGAAACAGTAATGATAAAAGGGTAAATTATACACCGTGAAAAGAYGAAAAAACTTATTGACGTTTCGGGACGCTAGTCCTTCGTCGGAGTAAAGAGTAAATAGTAAAGAGTAAATAGTGGTGAACGATTTGTGAATTTTCTAATCATTTCTCGTCTAGTGAAGCAAGCGCTGAAAGATTGCTCCTGGGGGTCGAGTCAGTTTGAACGCCATTCACTGCCTACCGATTCCAAAACAACTGTGACAATGACGTCTCACGGAGCAATTCTATCTAAAAAATGGTCCTTTATAGAAACGGATGCGTAGTCATTACGTACAAAGGTGAAAGATGAACCCATGCTTGGTAAACAAGCCTAACTGAAGGTCAAACTAACCATCGAGCGCATTATTTCAACGATGCTATTTTCCCCGGCCTATTTTGCTGTACAACTACTTGCGCTCGCGATAGATTTTCTTCAAGCTCGGGAGACAGAATTAATTATGGCCATCTAAATACCGAGAATCTGAAGTTTCATGAAACGCCATCGATTTTTAAGCGAGCAGGAMGGGACAATATTGTGAAAAATCACTCGTTAAAAAATCAGCCCATAATTAACGGCAAACGCGACTCAAAAWTAAAATGTCAAATTRAATACACCGTTAAAAACCTAAATGTTTGAGCTACAGCATGTGGTTTAATAATTCAGAAGTATCCGAGCGTTTTTGGCGCAATGAGAACGCGCGAGTTAAAAAAAAATCGATAAGTTCACTCGCAAATATGTTGGATTCAAATTAACAATGATTTTTTTAGCGGGTTTTTGGTTTTTCAAAACCAGAATAAGCGTTTTTGGAAAGAAAATTCTCCTCTCAAAACAACGTAATGATGGAAATTCAATGACTTTGCCAAACACGATTCGAGATGAAATAAAAGTTACCATTTCCACAAAACGCACACATATATGTGTAGGCAAGAATCTCCGTTTTTCTCTCCGGCTATCCGTTATCCTGCCCTGACTAATGTTTATATTTTACTAAGTTCGATCGATAATCGTATGTAATTAAAATTACTAACGTGAAGAAAAGTTAAATACGATCGTTAACTAACATCAATACTTCATTGGCGGCTGTATAAAGCACAAGCGTTTTTTGTAACGTATTTGTATTTAAGATTGAGGCTGCTTTTCGTTTTTTCGTTCTTTACTTTGTTCCTTCCTTCCTTCGTTATTTTCTTTGGCTTTTATTCTTCTATTCTCTCTGCCTGCCTTCTTTTCTGTCTTTTCTCTTCCTCCCCCAGCAAATAAAGTTACCAAGCATGCAAGAAAAAGACTTCATTGGCGGCTGTATAAAGCACAAGTATTTTTTGTAACGTCAGTATTTGAATTTAAAATTAGCTTTTCGCTTTTTTCGTTCTTTACTTTGTTCCTTCCTTCGTTAGTTCTTATTTTCTTTGGCTTTTATTCTTCTATTCTCTCTGTCTGCCATCTTTTTTGTATTTTTCTTTTTTACACAGCAAAAAAGTTAACCAAGCATGCAATAAAAACAACCTAAAAAACAGCGACTTAAAGTTGACGCCCCCGACTTTTGACATTCAAAGTAATTAAACRATTGCAGTTAGAAAATTATGCATTTTATCAAATCTATAGCGATTTCTGTACATTCTGAGCGAAGTATACTATGCCAAACGCCCCAAAAACAAAAAAGCTCACTTACCGCAATGCTGTAATGGTTGACTCCTGTCTTGCAGATGAAACTGTCTTGGCTCCGGTACTTGTCAGTGGCAAAGATTTCACAGACATGTCGTGCATACATGTCGAGAGTTGTGAAAAAGTTGAAGGAAAAACCATTGGAAGAATTAGCACATAGATATGCGCATTCACCGACTTTATTCACGTATCCTCTAGACACTGCAGTGAGGTTYAACACTGTATTTTCGTGCTTGACAAATTTAGCATAGCCAAAAGCGTTGACTTTATCTCGAAGAAAACTTTTAGCAACTCGGGTGTTTTGGGCCTCTGTTTGTGCGAAACTTGAAACCAAAATAACGAGATAGGCAGCCAAAATGACACAAGAAAAATATTCTCTTGAACCGTTCATGGTCAAAGTTTGGTGACAACTGAGAAGTACTTTGTCAAAAACGGACTAAAATGCACTCAAATAGAAATAACACATCAAGCTGTGAAGATCTAGTAACGAACGATTTTCTATTCATTTTTGAGGTATTATCATAGAGACCAGACATCCCTAGTATACGCACCGGATTTTGGTTGCTTAGTTCACAGACGTCTTCATTTCGTCAAAATTGTATAGTTTTGAAAAAGTAGCATAACAAGGTTTTGTTTCGAACGAATCCATGGGATACCAACTACAAGGTGAGAGATTTGCAATAAAGGAAACTTTTGAAATATTCATAGCCTTATGTGACAATGAAATGAAATCTAAAATGCTTTTTATTAGCGCAAATTAAGGCAACGTTTTTGGCCAAATAGGTCTTAAATATCTGCTTGAAATATTCAGTATCCCGGTGCATTGACGCTGTAAAATGCGCGTTAAATCCCCGGTCTCCCCGCGTAAATTCCCCGTCTCCCCGCGTAAATTCCCCGTCCCGTCCAGTCCCGGGGGTCAGAGTGTCATATTCACTAGAGCAACATTTCCCTTCAATTGAAATGAATTTGCTCAAAAGTATTCAGAATTATTTCGATAAAAACTTAAATATTTTCAAAAATTGAAAGTTAAATTATTGACGAGTCTAAAAAGTTTAAACCCGGTTTGTCAGTTAGGTTTTTTCTTTTATTGAAATTAAAAATTTGCTCAAATGAAGTCAAAATTCATATATTCTTATCGMAGTGGTAAATATTTTGAACAAAAGACAAGCGAATAAATTCTGAACGTTTTGAATAGACCGATTGTTCAATCAAAAACACAGCAAYTTTTGTATTTTTATCAAAATATTATCATTCTACTATATATCTGCCGAACATTCATTATTAATAAATAGGATTCTTTTGAGAAAGAATTTATTAATACCACAGCTAAACCGATGGGATTTGACATCCATGCCACTTAACTTATCTAGAAGTAAATGAAATAAATTTTTGACCGGTTACTTCCAAAACCAAAGCATTATTGGAAAGGGAAAAATGCGAATAGAACGAACTTTTAAAATTTCGTGTGGAAGTTGGTTTTGTAACAGAAATATTCGAGCCATTTTTCGTCTTTATACTCTCTTTATTGCCAGAACGGGCGTTATAATCAAAACATATGTAAACAAATAAACCATCTTTTTTTTGTCTATAATTTA